TGTGTCTTCTCAAGGCCTGCAGAGCTCCAATGGTTCCAGATTAAAGTCAGCTTCAAAACAACTCCTCTTGAACCAGAGCTGAGTAGGAAATAAATCAGTTTACTTCAGTTTCTGAAAAGACCTTAGCATGAGATTATACTGACACAAACACTAGAAGTGTAAACACTTCGAATGGAAATATCCTTGCACCCAATGAAACCCTCTTCACAATATTTATCTAACAAGAATTGTCTACTTCTGGAAATAAACATTATCAACTTTGTTTCTCCATATCACAACAAATGAATATTTGGCACATTTCTTTTTAATGTTATGAAGACTAGTATTTTCTTTTAAAATTATATCTCACATTTTTCACTTTGCAGACACATAAGGCACAGCATTAGAAACGTTGTTTTTAGTTTTTAATGTGTTAGCTAGGCATACTCCTACATAGCAGAGTGAAACACTTTGTTAGTAACAAATCAGCCCAATGGTCCAGAACAGCCTTTTCCCAATTAACCCCTTTTTTGCCCTGAAGAATGGAAAGCTGACACCCACACTTCAGATGCCACCAAGTTAAAGAAAACTTGCTCTAAAATGTAGAACCAGCTTAGAAGAAAATATGTTCAGTCCTCACCTTTGCAAAGGTCTCAGCACTGTTGCTGTATTTCCAACTCCAAATGTCTTTGAAACAATAGAATACTGAAATAAGAAATGAGATTGCATAGGTAAAAGTTAAAAATATCAGATAGGTGGACAAGTACTAATAGTACCCCAGATTACATTCTGATTCTATAGTTTTTCAGATATTCAGTTTCAACACACTACCTGAATAAAGGCCTGGAATTAGCCCTTTTCTGCTCACTATCTACGGCAGAAGACGATTCCTTTCTTTCCTCCTTCTCCTATATAGCTGCCAGGTTTTAGTGAGACTAAGAGCAGATATGGTGAAAATCCTGAATATTTGAGAAAAGCAGGATACTAAGGGATATTACTGGGTTGGGACTTCAATTGCTCCCAGAAAAGACTGCTTCCATGAGCAGGTAAAATAAGGGACACTTTCTTGATACTACCTTGAGAAAAGTTACTGTTAAGTTCAAGCTTTTGAAGTTAATGAAAGTCTTGTCTGATACAAATAAATACTTGAATAATGTGAAGAAATAAAACAGTTACTTACTACGAGTTGCAGCCACGCGCCTGTTCTGAACTGCCTTTGGTTGCTATGGTGACAGCGTCTCTCCTTAGCTGGGCTTGCTTTCCTGTGTGCGCAATCAGTCTTTGGGGCCTGGTAGCAAACAGAAACCGTAGTTGGAATGTTCCTAGCAACAGTGCAGCGAGAAATTATTTAGACTCTCTCTTGGACGTTTAGCACTTTTTCCTCTTTGCCATGACAGGATTGTCAGGTAGGCTGCCTCATAATCCATTTTAACCATTATAAGCATTTGCTGCTCCATTCTATTTCTGCCATTGTAACCTCCTCCTAAAAGTTTTTCTGTGGCATCTGGTTATGCTGTTGCATCATAAAATGCCTCTCTTCAGGTACTGGGATTTTTTCATTTGTTTTGTTGGTTATGGAATATCAGGTAGAATCAATGCTGCTAGAAATTGGAGAAAATACATGCCTTTGCAATCATTTCAGTATTCCTTTCGTTCTCATTTCTGTCAGTACTTGCCCCAAAACCAGAGTTTTGTTTTGCAAGGTGGATGAAGAAAAGCACTGTTCCTCAAGGAACCTGTATACTTTACCTTGCTTGTGTGAAATATGTTACCGTATTTTAACTTTCAAAAAGAAGTCACTTTAGAAAGGTGTATTGGGCTGCACAAAATATGAGATGCCAAATGTATTTATTTATGCTCCTTGCCATAGTAAAACTGCTAATATAATCAGTAATAGCTCCACTACAGCTAATGGGGCCTGAACAACTATTTCACAATCATTAATTTGTTGCTTATAAACCATTGCTAGTTATGACATGCCAAATGCCTATACATGCTACATTGGCACCAAAATGGCACTCAATTAACTGGTGGTAAGTAAACAGCATATTCCTCTTTATATCATGGTCATCCTTCCTTAATCTCAGAGATTAAAACATTTCCTTGACAGAAGGATTCTTCTTGATCACTGTAATGTAGCATTACAAATCCCAGGAGAGAGGCAGAAGGTAGGTAGAAGAAAGACTTAGGGAAAGAGTGCAGAGATACACATAGAAAACTGTAAGAATGTCATGTATGAAACTGCTATGTAATAGATTTCTAAATTTTATTTATTTATGCAATTTCTATAGCTGCCCATCTCAATCCATGTGGCTCTGGGTGGCAAACAGTTTCAGAAATTAAAACCATTACAAATTATACATATAGGCAGCCAACAGTTATCATAAAAATTACATAAAAATCATCAGTGCAACCAGGTAACAGGGCCCTTAACACTTTTGGGACCTCAGGCTTGGGCACATAGCCAGGTTTTTAAAGCCTTACAAAAGGCTAGCAGGGTCAGGGCCATCCTGAGCTCCAAAGGAAGAAGGTTCCAAAGGGCGGGGCTGCTGCTAAGAAGGCACACCTTCTAGCTGACATTCCTTGGCTGATGGGATCTGCAGTGTCCCCAGTCTGTTAGACCGAATTGGACAGGTAGAAACTATTGGGAGAAGACAGTCCCTTAGGTAACCCAATCCCAAGCCAGGCAGGGCTTTATAGGTGGCAACCAGCACCTTGAATTGCACCCTGGTAACCAATGCAGCTCCCATAGTAGTGGTGTTACATGTGCCGCATATCCAGCACCATTAATTACCCCTCCAGCTGCTTTTTGCACCAGCTGAAGCTTCCAAATGCTCTTCAAGGGCAAACCCATGTAGTGAGTGTTGCAGTAATCCAAACCGGGGGGGGGGGGGAAAAAGGGGATGAGTGACTGTGAGGAGGGCCTCCTGGTCCAGGAATGAGCGCAACTGGCGCACAACCCACAGGTGTGCAAAGGCCCCTTAGCTACGGCTGCCACCTACTCTTCAAGCAGGAGCTGCGAGTCCAAGAGGACCCCCAGATTGCGTACCAGGTCTTTCTGGAGCAATGCTACCCCATCCAGTACCAAAGATGGAAAAACCTTGTCCCCAGGAGAACCAAATACCCAAAGTCACTCTGTCTTGCTTGGATTGAGTCGGAGCCCATTGCACCCCATCCCAGGCCCCTACAGCAGCCCAACACTGGGATAGGACATCCACGGCATCACTCAATGGGCCTGGGGTACAGATATATAACTGGGTATCATATGCATATTGATGGTACCTCACCCCAAACCATCGGATCACTTCACCCAGTGGCTTCATGTAGATGTTAAATAGGAGAGGAGAGAGAATAGAGCTCTGAGGCACCACACATAATAGAGGCCATTGGCTGGATCTCTCTCCCCCATTAACACTGACTGAAATCGACCCCAGAGGAAAGAGGAAAACCAGGACAGCACAGTGCCACCTACCCCCAACTCCCGAAGCCGATTCAGAAGGATACCAAGATTGATGGTATCGAATGCCGCTGAGAGGTCAAGAAGAACAAGGATGGATGCACTACCTCCACCCCACTCCTGCCAGAGGTCATCTAAGAACACAATCAATGCCGTTTCAGTTCCAAACCCCAGCCTGAACCCTGACTGAAAGGGGTCCAGACAGTCCGCTTCATCTAGAGTCTTCTGCAACTGCCACGCTACCACTCTGTCCACCACATTCCCTAAAAAGAGCGGGGGGGGGGCAGAAACTGGACAAAAACTGTCCAGGTTGGTTGGATCGAGTGATGGCCCGTTGAGAAAGGGGCACACAGCCGCCTCCTTAAGAGCCAGCAGAACCATCCCCTCTCTCAAAGAGGAATTAACCACACCTTACTCTAGGATCTTTCAAAATTCTTAAAGAAAGAATGCAACAACCACTTTGAGAACAAAGTAGGAGTCAAATAAAATCCAATATATGGAGTCATGACATAATATAATATTTGTTATCTCTCTGTTCTGACAGCTTAAGGGAAGGTGGACCATAATAGAGCTTTGAGAACACAGGAACTGATCTTGCAGTGAACATGTATGTTTGGCATCACTCTGAGTAGTAAAATAAAATTATTTTCCACTAATAAAGAAGGGTTAACTGTATTCCTGCTATGTAAACCAGTGTTGGTGATCACAGATTTCTGTGAACTAAATCAGCTTTGTGATATAAAACTCATAAATCTCCACCATTTAAAACCATGCTTGGTATATGAAATCACAACTCTCTGCTACCTTAAGCAACTCTTGTAATATTAACTCACTTCTCTGCCACATAAATGAACAGAGGTAGTATGAAAAGACTAGGGTTCACTGTATAAAATCAGTTCACTGAGTTAAATCAGTGTTACTGGACTGTTGTCACATGTCCCTGCAAGTCAGTGTAGGAGGAGAATCATGTTATCCTATGCTGACAGAAAATCAGAAGTCTGGTAGCACCGTTTCTGACTAATACATTTTATTAAAAGACATAAGGTTTCATGAGCTGCAGCTCACTTCATCAGATGTAGAGTGGCTAGACTGATGTAGGATATAAACTGGGGCGGGGAAGAAGATAGATGCAGGTTACACTGTAACAGTTATACCAAAATCTCAGCCTCTTTAAGCAGGGCTGGAAGCATGAAATCACAGGTTGTACCCATATATTAATCCCATATAAAATCCCAAGTCTCTAACACATCGGTGTTTATAATATTTAAACCACTATTTGTAACATGACATTGGAAGCTTCTACCAGAGTTTGCAATATGAAATAACCAATCTCATTGAGATCCGCGTCGGTAGTGCAAAAACACAGCCCCGCGTCTATGAATGTTTACACGTTCTTCCCCACCCCCCGATCCGAAATCACCACTTCCCCGCGCAGGGACCTACGGCTTATATCATTCTATCCTTGCTGGCCACACCTCTTCTCCTTCCTGCGCCAGTCAGAAGGGAGCAGGGGCGGGGCGTCCTTGCGAGAGAGCGCTGTCGGGAAGTACCGCCCCATCTCTTTGCTTGCTGCCCGTCTTTCTGCTGTTGGGCTGCCGCTGCCCGAAAAGTGGATGTTTCGGGATGTTTTTTTGCTCCTGGCCAGAGAGAGCGGGACTACGGTGAAAGTCGGACGGACGTTTGGTCACCCGGAGGAAGAGGTACGGTGACAAAGTGTGGCGTTTTAAACTACAATAGGGGCTAACTTATATCTCCAGAAGAGGCCTAGTTTACTTTCCCCCTCGTTCCTTTCGGTGTGAGGAAGCGGCGAAGTTCCTGAGGGAAAAAATATGGTATGCGTTTATACTATAATGTACAGCCCTGGGTTTCGCCTTCTGGAGCTTCTTCGGAGAGTTTCTTCAAGTCTTTGGCTCATCTCTTCGTCAAAATTTACAAAATGCCTCGCTTCATTAAATCAGTACTTACTGTAGAATCTTTGCATCCAGTCCCTCCATCACCACCATCAACCAAAAACATTTCTCCAGTTAATATACCGGAGCGTTTTGCCTAGACCCTTTGTAGACCTGGCTCACACATCACGCAGATGTAAACCAGTGCGTTGAGTGTTTTATTTAATAAAGTATGATTAAATAAATCATGGCCTAGCACAGTGAACCTAATCCTAGAGTCTAAAAATCAGAGTCAAAATCTAAAACTTAGAATCTAAAATAGGGTCAGAAATGTGAGATGGGGGCTATATAAATTGAATAAATTAAACAATCTTATTTCCCATTTATGATATTAATAACACCTCATTTCCAAGTATCGTAATCTTTATTATAGGCTTCCTTTTTATATAATTTTTTTCTGCACTTTTTCCTTCCATAAGCCATTACAATGCTGTCTTTCCTGCCATTCATTTCATTTCCAAATTTATAAATAATTCAAATGTATATTAATTCCATCTCAAAATCCTGAAATGGTTAATGGTTGGTGTAAAGCAGTGCTTCCCAAACCTTTTTCTTTCATTACCCAAAACCACTTATCAGAAGTCTTTATTTTAAATATTCCTGTTGGGTAATGGGTTTGTGTGTTTACCCAAAGAAAAATCACTTTTGCCCAATTTTGGGTAATTTACCCAGGTTTGGAAAGCACTGGTGTAAAGTGAGAGATAATCTGAGCCTGAGTTACAGTAAATGTGAAAACTCTTGAATTAGGAGCTGCAGAGAACCTTTGCAACCAAATACCTATGTCTGCCCCCTGGTTTAAACATGAATCTAAGATTCTGTCTATGTATTTTTCCATCGCATTGTTCAAAAAAATTCTATGTCTCTGAAGTTAATTTCCTGTTATGATACTTAGTCTTGGCCTCATTGCTTAACAGAATAGTAGCTGATTGCCTGTGACTTTCCTTTCCAAGAAACTATGTACAATATGTAAATGTGCACATGGGATGTACAGAATTCAAAATAGCTTAAATACTCATTGAAACATTTATTTGGTTAGAGAAATTTTTTTTTTAATGGAACTGGGGAAAACAAAAATTTTCCCCAGCTCCATTAAAGACCCACACTGGATCACATACAAGACCTATCTAATCTAGCATTCTCTTGGTTACAGTAGCCAGCTACCAAGTGCTTTTAGGGAATCTAAAAGCAACAGAAGAAAGGTATAATTGCACCTGTCCATTTCTGTAATTCAGCCATACTAGTAGTCATTGATAGCAGCATTTTGGTACATGTACAATATAAGAATGAGAATTTTTTCTTAATCTGCATTTTACCTCCCCTATAACAATGGTTTATAGCTTGTTCAAGGCTGTTGGTGTTTTACAAGGATGTTGCATGGTGTTGTAGGGTTTTTTTTTAAGTGCATGTGTTGAAATTCTTGGAAGATTGGAAAAATGCATAAAAGTTTGATTTTCTTGCCAAAGTTTCATAGAATTTTGGGCAAAAAAATGCCTCCTACCCTTTAAGTAAGTAATGGAAATCACCATTTACAGTACTTTCTCCTTTGCCATGGTTTGCTGGAGTTGTACATTTCACTAAGCCATAAATTGTGAATTCCAAACAGCAACAATTAGGATCATACGTATGTGAACGTAGTTACTATATCTGCTTTGGTATACAGAGCAGTACTATTTCCACTAAATCCTTCTCTTTTTACAAAGTTTGCCTATAGACAGTATACACTGGTTTTCTCCATTCCACCAGATTTCCATTATGCCCACTATTGGTTCTAGCAGCAATATGGATTTGAAAAGGGAAAAGATGATTTGGGGCATGCAAAAATGTTCATGTACTTGTTGGCAACTTCTTAAAGAAGCTACATTTTTTTCTTGTCTCATAGTACTACTACTCAGTGCCTAGAAAATAAGTGTTTGCTTTAAGGAACTGCTGACATGTGTGACATATATCCACTCATTCAGTTCCAATTTATTCCATTTGGTATGGCTGCCTACTCCAGAAGACTCTGGGTAGCTTACAAAATCCACTAAACAACAACAACAAAACCACAGTTAAAACCCGAATGAAAAAGGTAGCCTGGTCTAAGGCAACTAAAACAACAAATAGTATAAAAAGTAATCTTTTCCCCTTCGTATTTGAGTGGCTGCTGAACCCTACTAGGTTGTGCTAGGCCATAAATCATGATTTACACATTGTACTGACTGGATGTATGCACCTATTTTTCTTTACTTCCACTACTGTCTCCTTCCAGAATCTGAAAATTTGAGCTATACCTTGCTGTCAGTGTGGCTGCGTCATCATTAAATAAATATGGCTCTCTGAGTGTGTATATGCACATGTGCACACAGACACATTTGTATAAAGAGCAGCTTCTGTCTTCAGAAAGAGTACTCATTCCAGCTGTAAACTGACTTTGTAACTGCCTAGGCAATTCATTCATCTTGGAAACAATATCCTTCATGAATTGACATGAAGGTGGCTGCAAGGGAGAGGGCTCCAGAATGTTTCTTGTGGAATACCTTCTTGAAGGAGACTCACCAGGCATTTACATTACTTGCTGTAAAAAAGAAAGTAAAGACATTTCTAATTTCCCAGACATTTTCATTTTATCTCAACTTATTATGTAGATTAAAGCTAATAAATAAAATCTGAACACTCTTTTTTCAACTGTTTATGAAAGCCAAATGAAAAGTAATTGATGAGGTTAACCACTACAGAAAGTTTGGGCCATTTTCAGGGGACAGCAAGTTCTCTTAACGGTCTTACTTATAAAGTCATTTTATTATGTAAGAAGAATATTGAGATTCTGTAACAGCTGTGGAGGCAATATCTTTTGGACATTAATGCTAAGGAATTTGTGAGTTTTTCAAAAATGGTCTGTAATATATACATATAAAGAGAATATATAACACAAAGAGAAGACAGAGCGGACAGGAAGAGTTCGGAAAGTAAAGAGGTGGTAAAAGGCCAGAAGTCAAGAACCAATCTGTAGTATAATTGTCACATGAGCGTCTCATCCTCTTGGAAATTCCAAATTTCAGCCTGAGACTGTGAAGAACTATCTTAGATCCATGCCTTTCCCAGCCTTGGTTCATAGCTTCAGGACTTCTACCCCTTATATTAAAACAACCATTTTTGTTTACTGCCAGCAAAGGGAGGACCTAGGGTAATCCTACTCTCTACACAACCCAGTGAATACATCTCTCCCTTGTAGAGATGTGTATTGACAATCTGACATTAAGAGTAACTGTCCTTCATGGGAATGAGGACTTGAAATGTCTTGTGTTCTTGAAACATTTATTTTGAATCCAGTATAATTTTGTTAGGTTCAAAACATGTTTGGGGTTTAAAACACTTGCAAAATGGTCAGAATTACCTATTTCAAATTTGAAAATGTTCTGCATACTTCTGATAGAGAGATCTCACTCAGTTCTGGCACATATCATTGTCAGATCCAGGTTCTGTGGAATTGGGCATCACAGCACTATCCTTTCCTTCTGGACCCCAGATTGCTCAGGTCTGATTTCTCTGGATAATGGCAGTGAAGTAAAATATTACTTAGAATGTGTAAATCTACTCTCTGGGTTCCAAAGCTCAGTTGCTAAGTATATACAGAGTAGTCAGCGACCATTTGAAGTTACAGTGGCTCTGAAAAAGCAGATTTATGACCAGTCCTCGAACTTATGCCCATCACAGCATCCCTGTGGTCATGTGATTGTGATTCCAGTGGTTGGCAGCCGGCACACATTCACAATGGTTGCAGCATCCCACGGTCACATGATCAGCATTTGCAACCTTAACAGCCAGCTTTCAATAAGCAAAATAAAATTGAGAAGTCACAGTCATGTTACGTTGCGCTTAACAACCACGGGTGATTCGCTTAACAACTGCAGCTGGAACTGATGAAAGCTGGGTGTGGTCACATGATGTTTCACTTTATGACCACGCTGCTTAGCAAGAGAGTTGCCAGTCCTAATTGCAGTTGGTAAGTGAGACTACCTGTATTCTTTTGAAATAACCATCTATTGAATGTAGCCATTACTAATTCCAAAATACAAGATGTCATAAAGCTCAAATTGTTCTTCTCTATTAGTTTGTATTTATAATGGTGGGCAGTAGTCCTAGAGAAATTTTACCCATGGAAATAAGGTGTGACAAAAGTAGTGGAAGATAGAATTTATCTTCATGGTATAGATGGAGTTGAAAGTTCAATGGTTAATAATTCAGATGATAAGAGGTCCCATAAAGTGATCTTCTGGTTGAATTGAGCGTGTGTATGATGGAGATATTAGCAGTTTCTTAAGAAGTCTTATGTGACATCATGAGACTTAGCAATCTTACGTAAGTAAAAGCTGGAGATGGTAATATTAAGTGCTAGTTTCTAGTGATCTTTTATTATAATACTGTATCATTTCTAAAACATTGTGAAAGATTAATTACAGGTAGTCCCCAGTTTAAGAATGAGTTCTGTTCCCAAGGTCTGTCCTTAAGTGGAATTTGTATGTAAGCCGGAACAGTATATTGTATAATACTGAATAAGTAGTATTGTGTAATGAATTTGAATCATTGTGTATTTAACTCAAATCATTGTGTATTTAACTCAAATTTTGCTACAGTAGGCTCCATTCTTAACTAAGGGTCATCTGTAAACCAGGGATTCTTAACCCAGGGATTACCTGTACTTACCAAGGACTTCTCAAACTCTTTTCTTATCCCTAAGTGCACTTCATGAAAGTACTTTTTTAGCACTTTGGGTAAGTTCTGTCAAGTGGAGGAAGTGACTTCCATGAGTGTTTCCATGAGTGTTTCATTGCTGTTAGAGTTATGGATATTTATTCTTCAAGAGTTCAGTTCCTTGTGTAATTGTCTCCCTGGCCCTCAGTGGCTAATGAGATGCTGTCATGATTGCTTCACATTCAAAGCCTTTTTTCTTTCTTTGCTGTTCATTAATGTAATGAGCTGTTAGCTATTGCCTGACATGAATTGTATTATGTACTTTTACTACCTCAAGTTCTTGGGATTGCCTTTTCCTCAGTATGGTAGATTAAAAGACAACATTTTTGCATTTTAATATTTTTCTCTTCTTTTTTAATCTGGGAAATGGTTTTGTAAAAGTTTATGTATTTTTTTTCAAGGCAACATACAAAACATGCTAGTAGTAAACAAAGCTGCAATCCTTTTCATGCTTGCTATGGGATAAATCTCATTGAATTCAGTGGGTTTAATACTTAGTAATATACACCATCCTGAGTGCTTCTTCACAGAATTTTTTTCAATAGCTGGAATCCAAAGAACTGTTTTAGACACTTCTAATGCTAGTTAACTTGAAAGTGCCTATCAGTTTTGGTCCCTTCACTTTCAAAAGTGTTATTCAGGGTTATTGTACCAAAAATTAAACAAAAAGCTCCCGTAAGCACAAGAAAACAATTATATAATTTTATTGAATCCTGGCCAAAATACTGAGGAAAAAATGGTTTTTAAAACCTTTTTTATTTCACTCAAGATGTTTCAGCAGTAGTTTTCAGCTTTTGCTGGCATAAAAAAGTTACTGGTGGTAAAATAATTTTTTACCTTTTGTGAAATCTGGTATTCATTTTATTTATTCATTTCAGCATGCAAAATAATTTTGTCAATTTAATGAGCATTTATTTTATTTTAATCATTACATGCTTTTAATACAGTTCTTACTATTTCCTCTCACTAATTTCAATATGAGCATTTTCCAAACTAGTTTGACGTACTGCTCATAAGATGGCAATCACAATTCCAACAAATCCTCTTTGGAGAAACTGGAACTTGGTTTTCATAATATGTATAGAATAATATAGCTCCCCCTTTGTTGAAAATAAGTTAATCCTTCCCTTTGTAGTATTTGACCCCTCACTGGTGAATTAAAGATGTCAGAATTACCTTGCTTAATTTTTTGAGTCATGCTTGGAAACATAGTTTTGTTTTGTTTTTAATTGTAATATAACCCTTTCCTGAATACTTAATAAAACTTTACGCACTTTTTTTGTTCCTATAATTAAACAGATATTGGAAATACATAGTTGTGCAATGGCTTTTGAGGACATACCAAAAAAGGACTGGTATAGCATCTTGGGTGCAGGACCCTCAGACAGCTTAACAGAATTGAAAAGGAAATATCAAAGGCTAATATTGTTGGTAAGTAAATTTTAAGTTCTTGAAAAGCAAACTAAATAATTTAAAATACTTGATTGATAACTATTGTATAAACAGAACAGATGTAGCAAGTATGGTTATATTATACATGTAAGTATCTTACTAATTATAATTGAAACTATTATTTCTCCCTCCCCCCCAGAAAAACCATGATATTCTATAGCTTTCTTGACATTCTGAAAATGTACAAGAAATTGATTGCTGTTTTTTAATCATGTGAAATGAAAATGAGATGAAAGAATTGTGTTCAGACTTATAAATAATTCTTTATCTTAATTAAAGAAAATGCCTGACCTTCCCTTCTGAATTGTGGCAGCATGAAATGAATCAATCAGTGTTTGTGACTTTACAATTTGCTACCATGGAAGCAATTATAATGTCACTAGTGCTAGACTGGCATCACTGGATAAATTGAGCATGAGGCACTGACTGAAAAACAAATGATTCCCCCCCATGCCCAAAAGTGTATTGTTAAACTGCAATAATGTGATTTAAAAAAAAAGTGTGTAAAGTTTTATTAAGTATTCAGGCATGTTATTTCTTTGTAGAACTTACATCAATTAAATGTGAATTTTTGTTTTATTCAGTACAAAATGTACTAATATATAATAGCATAGATTGATTTATATATTGCTATAAAGCTGGACAGACTGATGTTATGAGAGTGAAGTTATATTACACTATCTGGTTTGCATGGTTCTGTCATATCTGAAGATACAACTTGGTAATGAGTCACTGCTATAATAGTGTTTTCCTCTTAAATTGTTTATGGGCATTAAAGATTAGAATTGCCGCCAAATCTATGAAATTATTCTGTTTAATCAAGTCACATGAAAAACATTTGTTTACTTCTTCCTTTGTATGCCACCCAGTCCCAAAGACTCTAGATATCTAACAATCCCATCATAAAAGCCTCTATAAGAAAAAAAAGGAAAATAACCTGATAACACAGACACAAATTAAAATCAAAACTGGAAAATACAAAAATGATACACTCATGAACCTCACTTCCTTCTCTGCTAGATGGAATGGATAGGACTTGACAGCTTTCCTAAAGCCCAGCTGAAGATAAAGTTCAGCTCAGAATGCTTGGAACCAAATTGCTTGCTCTATTGAGATCAATAAAATATATTGATTAACACGTAATTTGAGGAAAACATTATGCTTTCACTAACAGGTAACAATATCCAATATTTTCTGAGCAAGACCTATGCTGAAAATGCTTACTTTTAAAGGAAGTATTGAAAATTATTATAATGCATTTAAATCAGTTCCTCTGATACCAAAAATCACTGGTGGTTATCAACAGAATATTGAAAAATTAGGGTTCATTTGAGAATAATTTGTAGAAATAGGAATTTTCAGAGGGTTCAAAAAACGACTTTAAAAAGACACGCCCTTTCAAATAAACAAAAATAACAGTCCGGTGAGAATGGACCATTTCAGTGGCTACAGTATCTAAAAGAAAAATAGTTAAGAGAGTAAAAAAAGTAGGCTAACCCAAACAAAGGAATGGCTGGGCCTAGAAATGGGGCATTCTATATGGCAGCATTTTGTAGACCCCATTTACTAATATATTAAATTTTTACGAGATCATGGCATTTTTATGTATATAATTTATTATTTGCTTTTATATCCTAGCTTTTCTCTTGAGAGTTCAGTGAAGAATACATAGGTGGCCTCCCCTCATTCTCACCTCACAGCGGTAATTCTGTGAAATAGGCTGGACTAAGACAGAATTAATCGCCCAAAGTTGCCCAGGAGTTTGTTATTAAGTGGAGGCTTGAGCCTGTCTCATACAATACGTTAATTGAACCTACAGGTATATACGTGAATATTTAAGTATGGATACCCAGGATGCAACATTATTTATACATTAAACTATGTTTGAAGTTACGTTTGCATCTTTTTACTTTTTTCTTTCTAGATAATCCCCATCTCTTTCCAAACAAGTGGCTGTTAAAATTTAAATTGCTGTAATGGCCAGTTCTGAAATTACAAAGTCAGAGTACTTGAGCCTTCCTAAAACCAGGGGTCTGTCTGACAGCAGGATTGTTGTTCAAGTTGATAGCCTGTCTACTTGAAAATAATAGACAAGCAGAGTTTAGGGGTGGTAAAATCACATATCCAAGTATCTTATCACAGCTGGTTGATCTAAATTTAAGTCTGCCAGCACTTCTAGTAGGTAATGCCATGGACCATATCTTATCATAAGTTTAATCAAGTCTAATATACTTTTCAGCTGTAATTCTACAGGTTATGCAATTTAAATAATTAGAGTTTACCTGTGACTCAGTTTATGACTGTTTAGAAAGAGTAGGTCTGAGGAACAGGTAAGGAGAAACTTGAAAAAAGGGTGTTACATGCTAGTTAAGTAGGTTTGCATGATATATTTTCTAGAGTATTCTAAATGGTGTATTGTTTTGGAGCATCTATCATGGAGCACCTTTAGCATACTTGATTTTTAAATCCATCCATAGAGTTCAAACTTATGTCTAAATACATTGCTTGTTGTGGGATGGATTGCCAGTGTCTCTTGGCAAATAGCTGAATCGATAAACTGAAAATCTGAAGCCAAGTTATAATATATATTCTAACACATACACACACACAATAAATACTATTACTGTTAATGTATACAGTACTGTATATAATATATATTAATATACTTATTACTAGTTGATGGTATATTTACTACTTTATGGTATATTTCAGAGGCACTTAATTTATGGTTTTAATTAAACTGTAATTACTACCAGTTCTGTATATTTCTTTCATTCTTACATTCCATATATTTGCATAGGAATACAAATCTAATATTTCTGGAAAAGTTGAGGCTTCTTATATGGGGTAGAAAAACAGCTTTTACATGAAAAAAAATGAAATATCTACCATACTTACTATCAAAGTATAAATGCATTTTGGATTTGAGTTCTTTGCATGTCTGTAGTATATAGAGGAATTAAGTTCTGTAATACAGATTATGTAAAAATGTTCATGCTGTATATTTGGAATGAGAGAATCTTAGTTTTAAAAGTGTTCTGGTCACTGTAAAAGAGGAAATATTTTATAGAAATCATTTTCAGTGCTACCACAAATTTCAATCTAATCTATAGGGGAGAAAATGGGAAGAGAAAATATAAGGGTTGTAGCTGAGGACTGTTCATTTCTGAAATGTTTCATTTTCCATTTTTTCCCCATTCTCCCATATTGCCACAAAGGAAATTTCT